TGTCTGTCGTTGAGTAGCGGCTGCGAGTTTTCCTTGTGTGCTTCTTTTAACATGGTCCGATCGATTATTCATTTCTTAACCCCATACGCGCCTTCTCTTCCGTTTCGAAAGAATAATGAAGACAAAATTGCATGCTCACGGCATCAAATTCTATGTCCTTTATAGAATTGATTGTGGATAGTCTATTCTATGGATTTACATAACAGATATATAGTATATTTATTATAGAATAAATGATGCGGTGAACACTTAATCTTTTAGAACCTACCGAAAAACAATCTAAAACATGGAATTCCGCGTCAAATCTGTGCCCTACAAATAAAAAGTTGACAATAAATTTCTTTGGATAAATATAAATCACATTGATACAATTGAATACGAATAGTTACACCTTTCATTGATTCCCACCGGGTTTGGGCATCTTTAATAGATACATCTGCAATATCTAATAAAACACAGTAGCGGAGCTTAGCAGGTATCTTAAGTTGCCGACTACGAATCGCAGGCCTACATACCCGCACCTACAAGTCTAGATATTTTTGCTTTACTCCATTTCAAAAGGTCTCCACCTTTTCCACAGCCGATATCAAGTACAGTTCCTCCTTGTAGTCGGTGTTTCCCAATCAAGACACTTTTAATCCAGTTGTTAAAGTTCTTTAGAAATAAAATATTAGAATCCTTTCTTCGCTCAACACCAACGTCCTCTTTTTTGTTATAATGCTCCTTGACGAGACGGCCATTTGTCGAAGTTTTTTGCGCTTTCAGTGAGCCGTGTATTTCGAATTCATTGTTTTTTCTTTTCCTATCCATTTTCCGACCTTAAACGTATACTATTGTAGAATATACAGTAATATTATTAAACGAAAACTTTAATTGGAAACATTACTTAGAATCGTGTTACGTCACGGAAAATTTTATTCGAATCTTGATGATTTTAGGTTAAATTTATTTCCAAATGAACTCTTTAAAGGCTGACATCGAGAAGAAACGAAAACTCCTCGAAACGGTTAAAACTGAGAATCCAGAATTCAAAAAGAAAAAGTACCTACGAAGATCTGATCTTGAAAAGATAAGAGAGCAACAGTATTTGGAGAAGCAATTTGAATCAGAAAGGGATAAAAAGGTGAGTTTTTTTAAATTAACAAATTTTTGGGATATCGGCCTGCACACGAATTGAAAGTATTTTTTATTATACTTTAGGAAAAACGCAAAGAAAAAGACACGGTATTTGGAATCGACAGATTTTTTTTTTTATCAGATATCAACAAAATGAATCGGTAACTCAGTGTGTAATGATATTATAGCTTGCCTCACTTGAGGACCAAGAAAAAGTGGAAAAACCTGCTTCCGATAATGAGGCAGCGAAAGAAGAGGTATATTAATTTTGTAATTAACCGTTTCAAAGAGATGAGACTGAAGACTTACACTTTTATGTTACAGCAAGATGGGAGTGATACTTTCAATATTTCACCAGAGGAGGTTGTTCGCCGTTTGAGAGCAAAGGGACAACCAATTCGTCTTTTCGGAGAATCTGATAAGGATCGGAAAACACGTCTACGAGCACTTGAACTAATTGAAGAACGATCGGAGGCAAATATACGTAGTTTAAGAAACAACACAAGATGTCGAACAAGTGTTCTCAAACATTACTATTCCATAATAATATTAGGGTCAACGTAATGATTTTATGAAGACCTTTGAAGAAATGGAAACTGGCCTGGATTTGGAAGTCCTGAAGAAGCGACCTGACGAAGAAGACAACAATCGTCCATCTAAGAAGAAGAAAGCAACTGAGGATTTAGCTTTGGTATTTGATACATGGGATTTTGTTTCGTGCGGTCAATTGAATGCACATGATTAAAAAAAGTGTGTTAACACTTTATTGATTTAGGATAATACGCCAATAGATATCAGTTTAATAGAAAAGGATCCTGATAAACTTTATCTTCTCATTTATACTTTCTTCAAAGTATGTTATTTTAATTTTTCCCCTAATCAATTTACAATACGACTGATGGAAATTACTTTCGATTAGCGTCTTCTGAGGGAATGGGAACAAGAAATGAATAATCGATCGGACCATGTTAAAAGAAGCACACAAGGAAAACTCGCAGCCGCTACTCAACGACAGACA